GACAATCATTAATGAGGTTTTGGGGGTTGTCCAAGCTTATGGTCATCGCGGCCTCGATTGCTTGGTGCCTAGGTTGTAACACCCTATTCTGGGTCATTCTGTTATTCAGGTTCGTGGGCAGGAAATCAATTTCATAAAAGCTTTGAGGCCTTACGGAGGCGAAGTTAGTCCTTGATAAGGAGGTAATGATGGTTGGAAGATCAAACTTTTGAATTGTGTTTTGGGCCGAAGAGTAGAAAAAGGAAAGTCATATGTCGGGGCCTTGCATGAAATATGGATTTTGTTCAAGAAGTTTTGGTCCAATATATCTAGATAATATTGTGGGGCTTTTCATCACCTTTCCTTGGATATAAAGAACATCAAAATTGTAGTTATAATGAAGAAGTTATGGTCGTTTGAAGTTAGGAGGGTTTTTAGGTTGAGCCTAGTACGTTGGGCGTACTAGGCGAGAGGTGATCATGGAGTCAAACCTAGTATGTTGGGTGTACTAGGAGTACGTTAGGCGTACGCAAGCTGATGCCAAACCCTAATTTTTAGGGTTTCACCCATATTTAAACACATTATCTAACATGTGGACCTCCCATAATCAGCCTTCACTCCCTTTAAGCTCTAATATCGAACCCTGGTCTTGAGATCGAAGATCTTGGGGTCTTTTCGTAATTTTGTGTATTCTTGTTGAGGAAGAAGGTCTTTGAAGAATGTGGTGTTGCTTGCAAACTTGTAGATCCAGAAACTCCTTTATCTTGTGCATCTTTTGAAGGTATAAAGTCCATGCCTTGCTGATGTTCTTTCTAGATCTCCTTAGATGGGTATTTATAAACTTTTTTCCCAAAAGTTTGGACCTTTGTGAGTATGAGGTACTCTGGATCTTCTTGGTTGTCCTTTTAGATGTCTTTGAGTGGCTTGATCCATAAAAATGGTTGTTTGATCGTTTCCTTTGGCCCGTGCATGAGTTAAGTGACCTTTAGTGTTGTGGAAGTAAGAGTTTTGAGGTTTGAGCCCTCTTTAGTCATGCAAAGACTTAAAGTCAGAGACTTTATGGGTTAATACATTATTTGGGATCAGATCTGAGAAGTGGACTTAGTGGCTTAACCATTTAAGCCCTTAATGATGAGTTTGGGTTATTGTAGAGTACGTTGGGCATACCCAGCTCGTACGCAGTGCGTACTGGCCAAAGGTGGAGTATGTTGGGTGTAGATTAAGTATGTAGGGTGTACTCAGCCGTTGGTCCGCAGTTGACTTTTGGTGACTTTTTACTTTTGGTCAAGATTTAGGGTTTTGGACCATGGAAGGGGCAAAATGGTCGTTTTGCCCTCAAGGGGCATGGTTGTGGGATTTAGACTATTAGGGTTTTGGGACTTATTGGGCCTTCTTGGATTTGGGCCCGTAATGGGATTTGGGCACTATTTAAGAGTTGGGCCATTTTAGGCTCTTGGGTGTCTTTGGGCAGGGTCGGTTATGGTTTGTGACCTGATTATTAATTTGGATATTATTTGATGATATTTAGTGCAGAGGTTTCCCAGATCAGCAGTCCGAGCATTAATTTGGTTGTTTCAGCAGATTGAGGTGAGTCTTCTCCTGGTGCTCGTGAGTCGAAGGCACCAATATCAGGTCACTAAATTGTGTATATAGGATGCTAACTGTCTTTGTGGCTCTTGCATGTTTGTATGAGCCTGTGTGGTAGAATAGTTGTATATGTGATGACCAGTTGGGTCTAGCTGTTATTATTGTGTTATGTTGTTTATATGTAGTATCCAAGGTTTTTGATAACCCATTGGGCATGTTGTTAGCCCACTCGGACTGTTGATAGTCCCCAGGGTTGCTGATAACCCATAGTTGTTTATTTGTGTTGTTATGTGTGTGGTATTTTGAGGAACTCACTAAGCTTTGTGCTTACGATTTGTGGTTTACATGTTTCAGGTTTTCTTATATTAACGGAGGGGCGCGGCTCGATTGCATCACATTAATGGGGGGCTTGTGTACTTGATAACTTTTCTGATAAATGTTTATGATCTTGCAGTTGTGATTTAAATAAATACTTAAAGTTTTAATTGAAAATTTTGGGTTGAAATTTGGGGCGTTACATAGGTCTTGTGTTCTGAAAGTTGTAACTTCTTCATACGATCTTGAATTTTAATGATATTTATATTCACACGTTCATATTTGAGTCTACTACAATTTTCGTTTAAATTACTCCCGTTAAAAAGTAATATATTTTTACTTAATATTTTATAAATAAACATTCATACATACATTCATAAAGAAGCATGTGTATAAAGATCATAAGTAAAAATATATTGTGATTAATCGAAACGAAAGTTGTATTAGACTCAAATACGAACGAGTGGATATAAATATCGTTAAAATCCAAGATCGTCTGAAGATGTTACAACATTCAGAACACAAGACCTAAGCCAAAACACAATACCTAAGCAACCAAGCAGTTGAGGTCGCAGTGACCATAAGCACCAACAACCCCGAACACCTCATTAATAATTGTCGCACGTACCATGCCGTGAGAAAACCTAAAGAAATCGGTCATACATATTGGATGTGTACAAAAACAACAATGACTTATTTTGCAATAAAAAAATATTAAGAACTAAATGTGCAAAAAAAATATTAATGACTAAATATGTACAAAATGAGAAATATATTATCCTATTAAGTCATTTTTTCCAACTTAGTTGGAGTAGCCAGTCATAAGGACTGAATGTGTACAGTTAAACAAGTTGAAGGGGAAAATGTGGATGAAAAAAAACTCAGTGACCAAATATATACAAATCGAAAAATGTATTACCCTTTTAAGTCATTATCTCTTAATTCTAATGTCAATAAAAATGTATTTTTGTATTTTTTTTTTTTTTGAACGGCAAGCTGGCATTAAACACAAAAACAAAACTAGCCAGGGGCTAGAGGTACAAACAGAAAGAGAAAAGAAAAAAAAACAAACATAACAAAGCAAAGGGGAAGAAAACTAAAGCCTGCTATAACATTCTAGAATCGGATCACTGCTCCATTCGAGCCACCTCAGAGTAAGCCCTTTCCGTTTTCTCGCATTGATCCAAAGAATTGAGAGAGCTTGTACCTCGTAAGCCAGCGCCGAATGTGAATAAGCATTTGGATTTGTAGCTTGGGCCTTAAGGTTCCTATATTTCCAAATCACCCAGATAAAAACTAGTATTATAGCTTCATGAATTCTAGAAAGCCTTTGATGACCCCCAAGCTTTTCTTTACGGTTTAACATATCCAGAACTGAATTAAAACGAAAATCTAACAAACGCCACCACTTGCAAACCTACTGCCAAACTTCATGCGATACAGGGCAGTCCACAAAGATATGATCCTCAGTCTCCGGGGCTCCATTACAAATCCTTCATAAATTAGAAGAGCTAATTCCAAACTTAGATAGGTTTACCATGGAAGGCGGCTTTCGATGGCAGATTCACCACGCTAGGATATTCAATTTTCCTAGGATAAGCAGATTTGAGGACCATCTACCATCACTAATGGGAAGAATTGAGTTACCTATATGCCTTCTAAGAGAAGCAACCAAATAAACCCCCTGAAGGATCAAGAGACCAGGTCCATTTAGAAGCCCCATCAAAATTTGTAGACGAACGAAAATGCTCTACAAAAGTCACATTCTCCTTTACTAGCATTTTAGGGATATTTGCTATAGCTCCCCAACAACCATTCATTATCTTAGCTACCGAAGGTCGGGAGAGGCCCCCATCCTCTCCATATATAGATTTTATCACCTCAGTCCAGGTATTCTACGAAGAGTTTCTAAATCTCCACCACCATTTGCCCATTAAAGCAATATTTTGAGCCATTAAGATACCAATTCCAAGGTCGCCTCTATCTTTTTTAGCAAGAACCTTATCCCAAGCAATTCCAAGGTCGCGTTCTCAATTTGACCAGGAACCCAAGAAAATAATTGCAGATGCGAAATGAATAGACCCTGTCTCGGTAACTGAATACCTTCAAATATTCTATTCTCCTTTGCCATCTCCAGCGCGACATGTAAACCTTCTATTGCAATAATATATAAAAAGGGTGAAAGGGTGTCGCCTTGTCTGATCCCACACTCCATACCAAATTTTGAGGTCGCAGATCCATTTATGAGAATCGATACCCTAGCAGCTGATAGACAACCCCGTATCTAGGATCGTCATTTGTCCCCGAAGTCCATTTGTTGAAATATAGAATCGAGGTATTCCCAACTGAGGCAGTCAAACGCCTTTTCAAAGTCCACTTTAAACGCAAAAGCCTTTTTCTTTCTCTTTCTTAGCCATGCGAATACTTTGTTAAGGATAAGAGCACCGTCGAGGATAGATCGGTTTTTGATAAAAAGCGGTCTAGACAGAGCTAACCACCAAGTGAATCACTTTCTTTAATATTTCTACAAGGATTTTGGAGATAGTTTTATACAAGCATCCAATTAGACTAATGGGGCGTAAATCAATCATTGTGATTGGGTCATGAATTTTGGGGACGAGGGTGATAAAAGATGCATTGCATCCCTTATCAATGTAACCAGTAGCTTAAAAATGTTTGAATGCAAAATAGAAATCGTTTCCAATCACCTCCCAATGTTCCTTTAACATAGCGAAAGAAAACTCGTCACGTCTAGGAGCCCTATCCAAACCATAAGCACAAATTGTCGATTTAATTTCATCAAGCGTGAAAGGATCTTCAAGAGAGTTAGCCAAACTTTGGGGCGATTTCTTGAACATAGGACTGAAGAACTTAGGCCTTGATCGAATCGGCTCAGTGAAACGATCAGAGAAATGTTTAATTACAATTTGTTTGATCATATATGGGTCATTTATCTAAAAACCATTATCTTTTAGACCGTTTATCGTCTGAGACCTATGATGCTTGTTTATCACCCCGTGGAAGAAACTGTTGTTCTCATCACTTTCTAACGCCCACCTGATTCGGGAGTTTTGTTTTAGGTCCCGAATTCTCCTTGATTCAATTATCATGATCTTTTGTTATGTATGGTAGCAGTTCTTTAACAAATCCTCATCCACGGAGGCAAGCAGATTAATGGAGTTAATGTTATTTGTGAGATCCGCCATTTCCTTTTTGTTTGCTTCAATGATTTCTTTTCTCCATTTCTTAATATGCTCCTTTAGATTTTTTAGCTTGCCAGCGACCAGAGAAAGGGGGGAGATACCAGAACACATCCCCATATTATCACTAAATGCCCATCCATTCCTTACAACCATCTCAAAATCAGGTTCTTTCAGCTAAGAGTTAAAGAACTGAAACGGATAAGGCCCAAAATCAAGCTGATTAGAGGAAAGAATTATAGCGCAATGATCTGAGTGTACTCTAGGCAAGGTGGTGACGTTTAAGTGTGGCTAGGTGTTAATGACATTTGAAGATACCAAATACCTATCGAGTTTATTGTGCTTACCCCCCTTCAAGTTCATATAGGTGAAACGACGACCGCCTATCTTGATTTCCAACAAACAAGCTGAGTGGATGAAATTATTGAAAAAATAAGCACCTTGGGGATAGAAATTAGAACCAAGGCTTTCTTCAGGGAAGCACACAGCATTGAAGTCCCCAAAACCAAACCAGTGGAAGTCAGGATCGAAATTAATAAGATCGAAGAGATTGTTCCATAGAACCTTTTTCCAGAAGGGTCCTGTGGCGCATATACATTGACAAAGCAGCATTTCTTCCTTAACCTGAGCCACAATCCTCTAAAAACAAGAAAACCAGAGGCTTTAATCGAGTCAGAAGCGCTGAAAATAGTTGGATCCCAAAGGGAGGCAATTCCACCTGAAAAACCCAGAGGGTCGACAACATCACATTGAAAATTTGTAGAGCCCGAAATATGCTTATCTAAACCCCCTTTAATCTCCAAAGACTTCGTTTCCTATAAAAGAACAAAAAAAAAGAATTATTTTGAACCCGAGAATCTTTTAGCCACACCTTTTTGACTTCACACCCAACCCCACATATATTGTTTGAGAAAATATTCATTGATCCACAATAACTACTCCACGTGATTTGATTAGTTTCCTAAGTTGTACATTTCCGCTTCTGACTTAGAAACCCACTTTTTCCCCGACATCGATTGTCTTGGCTAATTCTATGGAAGTGGAGTTTGAGGCATCTGAATGGTTATGAAAGGTTGATGAAATCGGTTGAGGAGCTGGAATCACAACTTGGGAAACTTCTGCGCATGGAGAAGGGGTATTTCTTGGGTGGTCGATTTGGGGGGAAGAGGGAGGCGTCCTGATTATGTCACCATACTGGTTTGATTATGCAGGTAAGTTGGAGCGAGAGGGAGCGTGATTAAGATCCAATGGCTTTTTTGGGCCTAGGAATGCTTCGATTTATTGGAGGCATTAGCCCAACTTTTGTTATGGCCCAAAGAGGTTGATGTCTGAGTATTCTCTTGACCTATTTTTACCGGATTCGACGATTCCTTTTCCCAACAACGGTCATCTTCTGAGGAGAGACGAGGCGACTTCTTGGGAATTGGGGGGAATTACTAACATGCGTCTCACTGCCTTCCGACTGATGGCTCCGATGCGGTTTCGCCGGAGACAGTTCCGACGATGAGAACTCATCATCATCCGATTGCATTGAAAAATCACCATTGTTACTAACGTTTTGATCGACCTTATCTTCATTCCACCATGCCATATTAGGGCAGTAACCATTGGCTGCAAGAACATGGCTGAGTTTAAGGGATTCAAGAGGATCTTCCATAACATTTATGACATAGTTCTTTACATCCACTAATATTGAAATTGTTATGTTAATGAGTCCAGGGTGAGTTGTGAGGATTCCAACTCTTCCAAAAGCCAGATTAAGGGAGTCAATGACGCATTCTTCCGGAATAACCACCCTTCCCTAAGAGCTAGCAATGGTGCTGAAAGCTTCTTCACACCAAACATGATGGGAACCCCCTGAATAATTATAGAAGCAATTCTTTCATTGTATTCGCCTTCCACAGACCACTGGTTGAGATTTTTGAACCATGGTTGCCATATCTCCATACCGTTTCTAAGGAAATTTTCTTTCTCTCTTACATTAGCAAATTCAAGGAGCATTTTTAGACCCCCCAAGTAATGCATATTGATCGAGTGACACCCCTTGACTTCTTGAAAGGCTTTCACATTCATGAGAGCTATAAAATTTTCCACCTCTCCTACCAGCAAAGTGCTTTGCATATGCTCTTTTGCCCCAGCTAAGGAAACCATCTTTATTGATTTCTTATAGGGATCATCCTTCTCCTTTTCTATATCTGCTCTTGAATTCGACATTGCTCCATTATCCATCTCAGAATGTATTAAGCCTTTGACGACCTCAGCAAAGGATTTGGGCTTTCTGTGAGGATACATGCGAGAGATTCCAGACCCACTTCACGTTTCTTGCACATTACTTATTTTAGCCAAGTGCTCCCTCCTTTCAAATCGTGCTACAATGACTTTGATTTTATGGGCACTAATATAGATTTCATTTAGTCGTTTTTCAAAAGCATGAACATCTTGGATTTGAAAGAACCTAGCAAACCCAAACTTCTTCTTGAGACCGGTTAACTTCTTGGCAATGTAGACATCAACGACAATCCCATATCTATTGAAAATCTGCCACAACGCTACTTCATTCCAATCCGAAGGGAAGTCAGCTTTGCCGTTGATATCAAAATCTCTTTCCATACTTTCTTCTCCGGTGCACTTGGTGCCAACTGTCGGCGTTTTCTCTCTCCATTCTAATAATAATTGATCTTTGAAATGTTCAAAAATGTATTTTTGTGTATTAAACCTTTTAGAATTTCACAAAAAAAGGTTTTTGTTATAATAGTAATACTAGATTATGACCCGCGTAAAACGCGGAGAAGATATAAAAATATACATATAAAGGTATAAAAAAGTTGGCACTATAAAAAAAATAAAGTAACAAAAATAGATTTAGTATTATTGGTAACATTGAAATGTCTGAAAAAAAAACAATGAAATACTTGAATATCTATAATCGTTGAAGGATCTCTTTGTAGACATAACTTTTTGTTTTATTAGTTGGACGACATTCCTCGTCATATATGAGTACTTTCAATCCTTTTTCACTTGTAACACGAGAAACAAAAAACATATAACTGACAATGAGTGAAGACGGGCCTACGCAAGTATAATCCAACATTTGGTAATTATTGTCATTGACTTTTGTTAATGGCCATAACAAAATAAACAACTATGGGGAATTGCTTCCGCTAAAAACGGAATGAGATTCTTTTATTAGACGGAGTTAACTTCATGCAAGGTATATAAGTAGTCTCGTTGAAGAATCTAGCATATATGATTCAGGCTTCAATGACGTGTCTTCCAATCCTAACAATATGTAACCTAGTACCATTGCATAGTCCTTTGGTTTGTTCGATATTACGAAGTAACATGACTAGAACACCTATTTTTAGTGTAAGTTTATGGTTGGAAATTCTAGACGCCCTAAAACCATTCAACACAACTGAAGAGTAGAATGATTCGTCAAAAAAATTGGTAACTCTATCTCACATAAAGAGTTTGAACTCATATATGTTTTCCCCTTCATCTTTCATCAATCCTAAAATGTAGTCATTGGTAGCATCGAATTCTTCATTTGTAGGTACCAAAATAGCTTTATCTTGAAAATATGATGGATCATCAAGATGGTTTTCAAATGATGGATAAATGGTGGATACAATTGAATGAATATGGTCACCTGTAGAGCGAACAACAACGTCTTCTGGAAATTTAACTTCAATTTCACCATCATTAGGGCCACAAGTATTACCTTCACTAATTTTAAGAATCCACTCATCAAATGCTTTTGTCTCATCCAAATCATTAGTTAGACAACCAAACTAAAGCCTCATGTTTACGGTTAAACGTAAAACTTTACATTCACGCCATAATTCAACAGGGGAAGCTAAACAATTTACGATATACCTAAATAATCAAATACATATCAACTCGATAACATTAATTGAAAAAATTTAAGGTTTAACGTTGGAAGTTTGATGTACAATTTAGGAATTGATTTTAGATTTATTACAGTTCAAGATTCATTGTCTGTTTTGGATGATTACTCAAATTACATTGCTAATCTCAGCGGGGGTCACTAATATGATTGATGGTCTGATCTTGGTCGATGTGATGTGTTCTTCTCAATCATGAAATCAATGTGGATAGTCCGCAGACCATGTGTTGAGTAACACCTAAGTGAAGCATTTTAACACAGGTAGAACAACATAAATCCATTAACTTGCATGGGATAGTTGGGTAGGGCCAATCAACTATTACAGTAAGACCTTATTACAGTAACTTAAGAACATTAGGTTATGAATATGCAACATTGTTTTGTATATTGATCACATTCTTTATGATAAAAAAATCCTTCAAATGTTTCCTGGTAATGATCATTAGAAAGTACAAAACATGTCAAATAACATTTTAGCTTTATTACATCTCGAAGTTATTTCATATGCTATTTTGAGAGCATCTAAATGGTGTGTAAGCTACTAAAATGAACAAAGATTTTGAATAAATTGGGTTAGTCAAAACTGGGTTTTTCTTTTTCTTGTTCGGGTTGTCATATCAGGATTTTATCCTTTTCCAAAAAGATTTCTCCACATATGTTCATCAAGGTAGACATTCAAGGAATCTACATGCAGTTAAATAATTCCAAAAAAAGTTATTTTTAAAAAGTACGATGCTATTAATAAAAAAAATTTGTGCAAAGTTCAACGCTATTAATGAAATTCGCTTCCAAAACACTGTCCTACAAATGAGCTTCAATGTTGGAAAACATGAAACGATTCAATATCATCTAAAAATATTCCAAAATAATATTTTTTTTAAAGTACAATGTCGTTAATAAACTTTTTTATTTTTGCAAATTTCAATACTAAAAACAAATTTTCCCCAGAAAATTGTCATATTAATGACCTGCTAATTAACATTTAAAATTTATATATTACATAAATGGTTCACTTGTGAACAAAAATACATAAATGGTCCATATTTGAAATGTTTTTTTACATAAATGGTCTATATACGAAAGAAAATGAAAATGTACTTTCCATTAACAAAATGTTTTCAAAAAAATCCTATTAATGAGCTCTAATGTACATAAAAATAAAACTTTTCTAGATTAGCCAAAAAGAATAAGAAAAAGTCCTTTTTTGAAACCACGATGCTATTAATGAACTTTTTTTGCAAAGTTTAATGCTATTAATGAATATTTTGTTTTCCAGAAGACAGTCCTTTAAATGATCTTCAATATACAAAAAATGTAACTTTCCATATCAACTAAAAATAATTAAAAAAATGTCATTTTTTTAAGAGTACGATGCTATATATGAACTTTTTGTTTTCAAAGTTCAATACTAAAAGCAATTTTTTCCAGAAAAGGTCATAATATAAGGTTAAAAGATCATATTGTAAAATACCTATCGATCTATATGAGCAAGAATTAAACATTTCCATCAATACCCAAAAAGGCATATAAATCATGCCTCATTCTGTAATTAATTCCAACACCCCACAATGTGGAATCCTCTCAGTGGCAGCATTCCAGAACTCAAACCACATTGGATAATCAATATGAAGAGAAGCTGCAATAAAAAATAATAATTGTCACCATCTTATACAAATATTATAGATTATTGGGGTGTTAGATAGCGTAATAACTTGCCAACAAAAAAAAATTCTAATACCTTGTAGACATCACCTGTACAACATTTAATAAATATACAAAAAAACATTATATAAAATAAACTATGGTTATGATATCTCTTCTAGGGTACATATGATTATTAGAATTAATGTCAACAAAAATCTTCAATATTTAAGTGGCTCTAAATACAACTACCCTCCAGTTTTAGGGCCCTTGACTTCACCCCACTCCCAAGCAGAAACGGTCCCTCAAATACTTTAAAAAAAAACCTGAAAGATTAAAATATACACACAAAAAGATGAAAATGGTAAAATGAACTTTCAAATATAACAACAATATTTTATAGACAATACTGCAAACAAGCTAGAAACATGCAAATAGAGACGAAAGAACATCATAATTAGATTAACACCATACACTCATTTAGTCTTATCTTTCTTCTTCCCTTATAGGAGTTTATAAAACATTTTCTATTGTATGATGGATTTCTGAATTACTTTTTTGAGATATGTGAGGTTGCAAAGAACAGAACAACAAAGAAATGGAATGGATAAGTAATCGTAAAAGCAAGATAATAGAATAAGTAATTCCATTCCAGAAACATGTTTGTGAGGCATGGAATGGAACAATGAAAATTTCATACGATTTTTATGTTATATATTGCAATTTAAATTATAAAGATAATCTTTCACATATCTTTGTTTAGTTTATTATTATGTAATTAAAAATGGTTTATATTGCAACTTTTATACTAATATCTTCTCTTATTGCTGAGAAAACATTGATACTCACAATGTTACCAACCCTATTTTCAAGAGTGTAGGGTGTCCCCATTTATCATTGAGAAAGTAAACTCAATAAGAGATTCAAACCAGTTAAACGAAAGAATAAGGTTGTGCAATGTTCTTACTATGCTTCTCGGCATGCCCAGACAACACAAGATAACCAAAAAAAATCTGCTAATTAACCAAAATTAATCAATCCCAAACATTTTCCAATAAGATTTATCGATGTAATCTGTTTACATGGTATACTAAAACTTTGTTTTTTCT